AAATTGTCTACACGGTTTTAAGACATGTGAGAAAGACTCGCTGATGACATGATCCACGGCCAAAAACTGGGGGTGATGGGTGTTTTAGTTTCTGATTAAATTTGCTGTTGCAAATGTTTTCGAGGTTGTTCCTGGATGGCTAACTTTGGTCTTAAAAGGTATAAAAAAATCAGCAAGCTTTGCGTCTTCTACACTCATGGTTAAAAACTTCCACTCCGACGATGTGTTGTGTATGTGTGTGTGTAGCTGTGCTGTTGTGTGTGGGATGTGAACCGTCGTGTGGGGCATGAGTGTAAATTTGACCAGCACAGACTCGGATATCTGAGACTGATCGGCCGGTCACCGATCACTCCGAAAACTGGTCTTTTCTCATCAGCGGCCCACCGATCTCTAGTGAAAACTTTTTGAAAAAATTTGTAGAAATTGTAATATGTTTTTATGCCTCTTTAAGGTTGGACCTCTTAAGCGAATATATACAGGAGTCATTCTGAGATGTTCCCGTGGCTTTCTGAGCTAAACATTCAGATCCACATGATACGGTGCTGAAAGTTGGGAGATATGAGAGAACCTGTGCAACCTACGGTTAACCATAACACGCTTCTCCCCACAGACATGCAGAGACATTCGTGTGTGTCTTTGCAGTGCCATTATTCCAGCCGTAGGCCTTATGGATATCTGAACTTTGCTAAAAATCAAGACATAACAGGAAAAGGAAAGTAAGACCACAGTGTACAATCTCTGGTAGTATTCTGTACCAAAAACAAGTGAAAGAACAAAATACTAAATTACACAGCTGAGACAGCTCCATTTTGACCAATGGGAAAGATAAAACTTTCTGGCTAATGCAAATCTTGGAAAAAGCCTTGAAAAATTATAACTTCTGAAAACAGGAGATTACGCCCATTCATCAAATACAAAGACCCAACTAGTAAGCCAACAGCCATTTGTTCACAAGAGGCAAATGTGTGCTAGCTGAAAAAAAACAAACAAAAAAAAAAGAAACAGTTGAGGAACTGTAGGAATTTTGTGCCAGTCTGCTCGTGATTTCCTTCTTGCCACTGAGGCCACAGTCTCAACAACATAGCTGTGGCTACAAGGCAACCTCAGATAGACAAAGAGACAGACAGACACACAAAGAAATAAAGAAAGACCAAGATGGGCCACAGAAACAAATGAGGATGAACTGTGACTGGTTTTGACCATGCTTGACCTCAGTCGGCTATTTCTGCACCGTCAGGTCCACATCTTTTTCTCTGCTCAGCCCTGTTTGTCAGTGTCACACGCATTAAAACGTCAAAAGTGGAAACCATGGCTAAAGAAACAGCTGCTGACAAGGGGAAAAGAACATATTTGGCAGCCTTAGGGATATTCAAAAAGGAAGTTGTTGTGCGCGCGTGTGTGTGTTAGTGTGTGTGTGTGTGTGTGTGTGTGGGTGTGTGCATGCGTAACCTGCCTGCAAACTTGCATGAGTGTATATGTGTGTGTGTGTGTGTGTGTGTGTGTGCATTTGTGCCCAGACGACTGCATATTGTGCAATCCGTCGTTGAACTAACGTGGCCCCTGCCTGTGGAGGAAGGACCCCTGAAACTGACTGAGGGATGTGGTCAGCGAGAGATAGGAGGAGTGGGGAAATGGACAGAGAGAGAGAGAGGGAGAGAAAACAGTGAGACATAATGCAGCACCAACACACAGCCCTCGCAACACACACTTTGCCTACAAACACAAGCAGCTTGCCACTGGTACTGCGTACCTCCAACGCCATGACCTGTATCTCCTCCCCCCCATCGCCTCCATCTACCCCCCGCCCCCCTCCTCTTTCCGCCTGAGCGTGAAACAAAAATGCAGCAAGACATCAGGTGTTGCTATGGCAACAGAGGACAGCACAAGTGTGGACGGATGCCATAGTGAATGAAAACAACAAAACAGAAGATAATAAAAACAAGTATGTTCCAGATCAGCTACCTAACAGATTCTGCTCCAGAAAAGCCCACAATTCCTGATTCAAAAGAGGTGAAGGATACCAGCTGAAAGGATGGGTTGTCGCCATGGTTACAAAGCAGGGAAATGGCCAGGTACTGCTATCGTTCTATAACCACTTTTAAGGGTAAATTGTAACCTTTTATTAACTGATCCAAAAGGTCCTGGCAGCCCATGTGGACCATGACTGATTCATCATGGTGTCTGCTCTTTACCCCGAGAACAGAACAACCTGGGTACACTTGATCCAAATTCTCCTCCAAATCCATCAAGTTAAACACTGCCACTCAGTGTTTCATAGTTTTTAAGTGGACAGCAAAAACATGCCATAGGCCTACTCCTTATCAAATCTGGGCCACAGCTGTTCTCCAGGAGTCAAGTGCTGGTTATCAAAAGAAAGATTTCTTTAAAGATGCAAACCTACCTTTGCCTTACATCAATTTAGAACTGCACTACCATAAAGCTGGATCCTACATGTCCCATTACGCAACTCAATAGCATTTTTTCATTAGACCTCCCTGCCTGGTATTGCTGCATTCATGTCATACGGGATGGATAAGAGAGAAAGGGCAGATTCACATATTTTGGGAACGTTCACGTCAACTCAAGATGGCTGCATGATTACAGGTTTGGTCAAGAGAAGGCTACAGTGCACTGACAATTTTCATCAAATTGGGGGTTAATCACTTCGCACAACAGACTTGGGCTGAAATGAGGCATCCCTGTTTGCTTAATTTCCAAGCACTTCTATAGTAGGAAGCTCCAGGTCAAATATACATGCAGGAGTTTTCAAAAAAGTCGGAGTTTCCCAGTCATAGTTACAACTTGTTGTATCTTGATGTTGTCATCTCTGCTATTTGCATGTCAGAATCTTGAAATCATGATGACTCCTTGATGATGACTTGAATGCAGCATGATAACACAATTTTTTCAGACTTTAAAAAGCTCCCTTCAGAGGCCCTCCAAATGTTTACAGGCTGAGTTTCAATCCCAAAGATGAATAAACTGAACACCATGCCCCTTTAGAGAATACATCTACCTCCTGTTTTATATGTGCATAGCTTCCATAATCTAAATCCATCTAAAGTTTCACAGATGTTTCAATCTCACAGAGAGAATGCACAACCACCACAAGCGACTGAGAAACTGTTAAGAAATCAGTGTAGTGCTGATTAGGCTTGGGCGTTATCTAAAATTTAATATCTTGATACAGTCCAGCCCAAATATCGCGCGATATCCGATATTATCGGTGGGGTTCCTTTTTTTCCAGGAGGGGGTTTCCTTATATTGTTGTATTTTATGTTTCAGGTGTTTCAGCAGTAAAATGTGGGTTAAAAGTTTCAGGGAATTCATGAGAATGGCAACACACTAACTGACAATGACAGCGTCCCATAGATCAGGCTGACTTACTTTAACGTGCACTTTACTGCTTCTAGTTCTGTCACTCTGTTTTGAGCACTAAATGCGTGGAACTGGTGGGCTGAGAATGGCAATAGTATAAACACCAATGTCCACTGAAGAAATGCAGGATAACAGTGAAATTATTAGACTGGGACATTCAGTTTGAATCAAGTATGACTGTTACTGTTCAGCACATGAGATGGGTAGACTAAGACTTCTAAACGAATTTTTTTTTTTACCTCAGATTATTTCAACCTTACAGCACATTGCTGTCCATGTGGCTGTTTTCTTTTGGCAAAGTTGGCAAAGTGCGCGACTGGAATGATTCACTTACTCAAATGCACTACCCAAATTGACTTAAGCAACAAGCCACGGAAAATGTGAGATATATGGTGACTTTATAGCACTTGTTGAGCATGACACTGAAGCCCGGTGGCTCTAAACACTCTCAGTTTATCCAAAAATCACAGCGCAATGCTCCAAAACCGATAACCAATAACAGCTCATTCATAAGTTATAGAATGTTGTTAGCAGATGATAGTTCTGGAATGCGGTTGCTAGGCGACACATTAAGTATCACTGTCGGTCGTAACCACTTACAGCGTGGATGTATAAATTAGGGGAGAGGGGCGTGGGGTCTTGCAGATGTGTGTTTATGGGATAATTTACAGCGGCCCTTAACTCCACATGTGACTGGAGGACAAACACCGGAACTCTCGGTTTTAATAATAATTCGTGATTCCATCTTTTTGACGCCTGGGCAGAAGAGGGGATTGTGCAAGTTCACTTGGCAGGCAGTCCACAGGCCGACATCTGGAGAGCATTACGTCTGCAGGAGACGTGAAGCCAGGCTCGGTGCGCGGCTTGCCCCTGGATATCAAACTACGTGTCATTAACGGTGTGTGTGTGTGTGTGTGTGTGTGTGTGTGTGTGTGTGTGTGTGTGTGTGTGTGTGTGTTTTTCCATTCCTTAACAGGTCGCAGACAGCAGGTTACTGACCAGAGTCGGTTTCTCCTTCTTCTTCTTGTTTTGTCACAGGAATGAGGAGGAAAACTGAGTTTTAGCATCCTGATGTGGCATGAAGGGAAAATAAGAGTGACAACAGGAGGAGAAGGCCTCCAGTTGCACACAGGTTAGTCTGAAGGTAGAGTGTTAGATGAAACAGGCCTGTCGACCAAAATAACCATTTCACACATTTGGTGGAATATGCTCGTCACTGACATTTTAAGAAAATCTCCAGCGGAGGAGCACACGAATGAAGCGGAGGTACAAATTGTTGCACGGCACCCCCGGCTTGCGTAACGTGAATAGGTGCGTTTAAAGGCAGCACCAACAGGGAATCATACAGCGACAGAGAGATATGCAGAAAATGATTGTTTGAATGCCCAGGACTCATTCCTGCCATTTAAAAGACGAGGAGACTGTGCACACAAATCATCTGTAGCTGCTCACAAACCGTAGCAAGTCTCTCCAAGCTGGAGCCATGCACAGCTCGGCGGGTTTCGGTAACTGTTAGCACGGATCAGCCGTTTATTTACTGCTGCCCTCTTGACAATAAGCGTTTCACACACACACACACACACACACACACACACACACACACACACACACACGTACCCTACCTGCAATCGCTCCGACGCGGGTTGCCACATATTAGCAGAATCAGAGGTTCTCCGTCTGTACTACAGCTTGTTCTCTTTTCGTAGTCCGGTTCACATCTGTTCGCTTTCACGGCTTGACTCTCTGTCCTCCCTCAATCTGGACTGGTCGGTAATGAAGGATGTGTTTGCTCCGCCTGGCTGTACTTATGAAACTGGCCAGCAGGTGGCGGTGCATGCTCTCTGTGTCTGGCCGGCTCCTGGCGCTGCGTTCACGTGCTTTCGGAAATCAACCAGCCAGTGAGACGGTTGGTATACTGTCTATGTGTAGATTTGAAGTTCGGGAGGGAAGCTAGCTTACATTTGCAGTTTGAAGTTAAGCGTAATATCCCTTGAGGCAAACTTTCTTTCTTTCTTTTTTTTTAATTTTAGGAGCTTTCAGTGTATTCTATCTTTTTTTTTAACCAGACAATCACATTTCCAGTATTCAAGCTTTCTTATAATTATCTTTAAAAAATATATAAAGCTGCACTAATCAATATTTTTATGTTAACAATGGGCAAGTAACTATGATGTTAAAGAGCTACCCCACAGAAAGTTGCCACCCACAGAGTGATTTGGCACCTTTAAGCTAATTGTTTTGCTTTTATAGCTCACAATCTTACTGTTTTGGTTCATACTCACCACTCTTCATATTCATTTAATATAAAAATCAACATAAAAACCATAAAAACAAATTACTTTGCAGCTGGACACAGCTGGATTAGTCATCCAGACCGGGATAGCCAACAAGTGCAAGAATGCAGTTAAAATGGAAATGAAAAAAAACTAACACAAATGGCACGGCAGGCATTATGTCAGTGGCTGGTTGCAATAAAAACTTGGTTGATTTAAATGTTCAGATTTCATAATTCCCAAATTTCACAAAGGCAGCTAAAGACAACTTCTATGGAGAATTTCCACAGTTATGCCCACAGATTTTTTATCTTTATAAGCTCCTCAAAAACAAGTTGTAACAAAACCACTTCCCCCAGATAGTTTTGCCTTGTGACTGGTTTGGTATGACCATGTTATTCTCAAAGTGATGTCTGGGAATTCACTGAAGTATCATCCATTACTTTGTGGAAACTGTTGAATGAATTATTTTTACTCTTGCCAACATTTGGTACATATTTCAACTGTTGGGTTGAATTCTGTATTTTTTCTGACAAATGATAATTTTGTAACAAAACCACCACACAACTGCTAAGACAATCTCAGTTTATCAAGGTGGAGGCTTTGAAAGCCAACAGCAGTGTGTTATGGGACCTATGTAAAGCCAAACAGCATAAAGTTTGACCCTCCAGGCCATACAGAGGGCAAAGGCCAAGCACAAGGCCTTCAAAGCAGACCATAAGCAAAGGTGAGAGTCATCAATAACATCTGGTGCTCCTGCAATGTGTGTATGTTTGTGTACACATATAATATATGTAGGTGTGTTGAGGGACATGGCTCCACAGTCACAGTCTGTATTTAGAGATGTTTACATGAGGAACATCTGGATAAAGCCTGAGGTCACTGAGGGTGTTCACATTACAGACACTCCATAAAAGGTCTTTCCCACGGTTGACGGTTCAGTCTGGTGTGTATGACCTTGGGACATTGCAGAAAAACAGACACTCTGGAGAATTTGCTTTTTTTTTTTTTTTAACACATCCATGTTTCCAAAACAGTTTAACCATTTCAGCCCAAAAACCTATTGCAGCATGCTATTGTGACATGTCATCATGGCTGAGTTAAGGTAACTACTAACTAGTCATGTAACTGCTGTACCTTCTTCTTCATCATACTAAAATTTAAGAACCCGTCAACAGTACCACCCAATAAAGAAATCAATCAATCAATAGCAACTTAAATTTTATATTTTCTTCTCATTATCTGTTTAAATTGATGTTTTAACAAGTATGATTGAAGCTGGGTATCAAACCTAAATACTTTCTTCCTTAGCAACAGGTGCTGAAAATTGAAAGTAGCAAAAGTTGGCATCAAATATCTGGTCAGATTTCTATTCTTGCTAACTTATTATTTACCAGATAGCACTGGATTTTGAGCTGATTTTGGGTCATTTCAGGCCCTTTTTATTTGGCACTTTTATTCTACGGCTTCCAGTGTTTAGATAACATTAGACATTTGAGTCTGTATACTTTTATTAAGTAAAAATGTTCGTATATCTCAAAATAAAAAGTATAATTTTGGTATGAGTACTGGCACTAATATTGAAAACTTTAAAAAACACCCTGCCCCCAATATGATGCATGCAGTACAAAACAGTGTGGCACCATCCAAATGTGCCACAAGGACACTGAGGAGAAAAACAAAAGTCCCTGGAGCATTAGTTTGTTGATCCCGACTAAGGCCTATGTCAAGAAAATGCTACTTGCAGCTGTGATTGATTGATAGCTCTACATACATGGTTGTAAAAAACCTAAACACAGTTTTAGGATGATTTATAAAAAAGCAGGCACCATCACTTCCTGTTGTCACTGCAGGAAACACAGTTAAATTTTAGTCAGACTTCACACGAGACACCAGGGGAGTACTGTAGAGTATGTTCACTTGAATCTTTATTGTTTACATCATTCAACATAGATAATAGGTAATCATGTGGTTGCTGTGTTTAAAATGAGAGAGAAAAAAAAATTCAGAGGATTAGCTGAGCTTATTGGTAAAACATTGCTTGACCTTGAGGGGAACAACACAGCTGCACAGACAGAGAGGTTTCCATTGGCAGGACACAGAAGCACATATATTCTGGAGTAGATATCATCCCTCTTCCTCTTCCTCCACCTCCTGCTTCTCTTTCTTCTACACCCTAAAGCCAGCAAGAGGCCACTCCAGCAAAGAAACTCTCATCCAGAAACTATGCAACACTGTCAATACTAGAGGTGAATTTGTACACTGGGATAAACAGGTGCACTGAGTAAAACCAACTATGTTTCTGTGCATTGAGAAATATACCTACCTATTATCCTAAATATCACTGAAATACATACAGTGGGATGGTAGGGTCACAGTACTCCAGTAAACCCACTTTCTTTACTATTCGTACACTTGCATGTAAAGAACAGGACCATATGCATTTTAAAAAGAAAAATTTTGTGACTAGTATTTCATACATGTATTTGATCTACCAACCACAAATTACAAAAAGAAAAATATTTGGCACAATCTTGACAGAGAGAAATACAATGCAATGACAAAAATAACAACCAACAACCAAGTACAAAAGATTTTAAAATAATGCAGAGAGAACATCAAATCTAACCATGCACGAAGTAAGGCAACCTACTGCAGAATTTTTTAGATATAGAAAAAGATACAGTGTATGCACCATGAGGAGTGCACCTATTTCTACAACACCTGTAAGAACAGTTGTCAGCACTGTCAGAGCCCCACCTACAGACAGAGGTTACTGGTAGTGTTGCCCATCATTAATAACTTAAGTAATGCAAAGTATGCTCTTATGCTACAATAAAGCCTTATCGTGGACTTTGACAGGAAAATAGATGTATCAAATTCCAGATTTCTTCTTTTTAAACTACAGAGTATGTTTTGGATTTTTTTTCTCCACTTTACATTCAATTTTGTTTTACTGGTTTTTCTTTCTTAAGAAATACTTAAAGATTTATACTGACTTTCTCTATGCGTGTGTGTGTGTATACATGTGTAGTTGCATGTGTGCAGCTTGTGATGGTTGTGTTTTACAAATCCTTCGTCTTGATGAGGGTAACCAAAGGCTTGTCATCAGGACTGTAGTCTTCATAGGCGATGGGAGTGGCATCGTACATGGCAGGCCTGGACTTCTTGCCAAATCTAATAAGAAAGCATAAACAACAACTGTGCATCAATGGTGCATTACACACAATTAGTAGCCTATTCTTTGCTGGTAGTTCTATCACTCCAGTAATTCAGTGGGGAACTGTTATAAAGTTAAAGGGACTAACAAAAGACAGAATATAATACAGCAGAGATAAAAATAAAAATGTATGCAGCACAGGCCAAGATACCCTGGCTTTTAGCTTAACAACCACTGGATCCTTCACCTATGGTGCAACTCAGTAGCATCTTATTGTTAGACCCACCTTGTCAAACAGGTCTTAAGTTAAAAAACAAACAAGTGTACATTGAGTTGAGATTGTTTTGTTGCCCTTCTTCAGCAGTACAAGTACAAGTACCAACACAGAACTGCGTAAATGAAGCTTTCTAATGGAAAATAATACCAAACTGTAATATCTATAGTGTGCCACTTCATAAGTAAACTATTCCTTAACAACACTTTGGTTAAATAATGTTTAAACACTAATCCTCTCACTGACCTGGCGTGGCGGATGGAGGCGATGGCGTTGCTGAATTCGCTGTCGATGCTGCGGCAGTTGTAGAACTCCTGGTAGGCGTGGCGTGACGAGCCCTGGTACTCGATGCGGCTGATGCGGCAGATGCCCACGATGAGGATGATGAGCATGAGCACGAAGGCCACGCACAGCGCTCCGATGATGATGTACAGGGAGTGGCGTGGCATGTTGGTCAGAGTGTCCTCAGTGTGTGCCGGCTTCCACTGGAGGTCTGACACACACACACACACACACACACACACACACACACACACACACACACACACACACACACACAGAGAGAGACACACACAGAGAGAGACACACACAGAGAGGCATATCTCAGTTTAGATTAATAGCTGAGCAGATTTTTTCTGACAGGCTGACTTACGGATCTCACAGCTGGGCCCCACCCACCCAGGTTGACAGTGACAGGTGAAGCCATTTGATTGGTCAATGCAAGTGCCTCCATGGTGACAAGGATTGCTCTCACACTCATTGATGTCGACATCGCACTTCTCTCCTGATTGGACAGGTAAGATTGCATTCAGTAACAATAAGAGCAATGAAGCTAAGAGCAGAAACTGAGGCAGATGGGTTACAGTATTTTGACTCCTGACAGGTGTTTTCACTTTGGGGTTTACAAGGAAAATGCAGAATTGCAATGTGTCACTATTATTTCACAATCAGAAACAATCTCGTTGGGAACTCTAATCTTTCTATTTTTTTCTGTTCTTGGAATCCGTCATGGAAAACCT